CCCCGAAACCCCAAAACCCCAAAACCCCAAAACCCCAAGGTAATAGATAAAAATTGATACTTCTTAAAGCTAAATATCGTTGAAGTTCTTCACAGGGTACTCCTTCCAATCTTTATTTTCCTTCTCTTCCTCTATCAACCCAATTTTTGATAGACTTTTGTCTTTGGTGTTGTTCGAAGCAATTGCTGGGTTAGAACACTTCGAGTGGGGTTCTTCTGCAAACTCCACTTGAGATTCTATTCTAGATTCCATTCGGGACTCACGACAACTGATGCCAAGGATTGCATGAGCTATGGGTAAAGAACAAACTTACAGTCTCGCTTGAGTTCGTCTGGAGCCACTTCCTTGAGCTTCTCAACCAATGCATCCACTCTTGAGTGATAACTTTCGATGTTTGGTTCATGCTTTGAAGGAAAATCAGCTTCAATCCAAAACTGGTGGTTGCATAAAGTGTCTGAGGTTGAGCTCTGTTTCGCTTGTGATTGTCCGAGCCTGCCTCTGGGGTCGAAGCTCATGAGCAAACGCTGATGGTCATTGACCAGCATCTTCACAAGAGTCTTGAGTTGACGCAGCGCTCCTATGACTTCTGGTAGATCTCACTCGCGACTACACTTCAGACAGAGCTTACTTAAGTCTGTGGTTAAGTTCTTGGTATTTGGACTTGGGTCTGTTCTTGACAAAAGGCAGACAGCTCTTCAGGTAATCTCTGAAGGAGAAGCTGAATGTCCTGGTTGCAAGCAGTTTAGCTCTGATCTGATCTATAAGCTTTGTTTTGGTGTCGCTATTTATCAAGTGGATCATTCTGGTTGTTGGATCCATTTGAAACAGAACTTTCTTGGCTCTTCACTACTTCGTTTTGCTCTCTTTGAAAATTCTTATGGACTGGCTTTGAAGGCTTCGGCTGAATTTGGATTTCAGATTTGTGAAGACTGCAATAATTGTTATCGGCTCAATAAAGTTGATTGAAGAGCGAGTAATTATAAAGTTTGGTTGAAAAGTAATTGACTAAAAGTCCTCCGGATATGACCAATATTTCAAAGAACCCACCAAGTTGGCCAGTAAAGTCAAGAAAAGAATAGACCCTTCTTTCATAAGAATCAACAATTGGGTCTTGAAATATTGTATATTTAACCAAAACCGGATCATCACTGTTTAGTGGATATGAGAAATCCATGCCTCTTGCGCTTATTGTGTAAAACTCTTCTTCGCGGGTTTGTCCAAACGGAAAGATGCTGTCACCTATGGAGAGAGTGTTTACTTAACAGGAGCTTACTTATAAAGAAGCCTTGTTCTTTCTGAGATACATATCTGTACTCTTTGTCAACCCATAAGTTATCATATTGACGTTCCTCTCATCTAGAGCCTTCTTGATAGGATTTTGGTAATCTTCAAAGTCAAAGTATTTGATGACTAACCCAATAATTACTAAAGTAGTATTTGCTTTTGCTTTTATTGCTTCTAAGGGTTGACATACAACTGAAGTCCCATTGACACAGTGCTTAATAGTTATTCCTACATTCTGGGCTTTGCTGACATAAATACTTCCTCCAACAGAGTAATTAGATTGCTCTGAACAATAAGTTATGTTTTTGAAATATTCACCGAATTTGTCGACGACATCATTGACTTTTGGATATCTGTCCCCTCAAACTGACACTTTTGATTCTGTATAGGTTTCCGTATATAAGTTGTTTGCAGCGTCCATTATCTGCTCTTGCTGATAAACGGACACGTTAAAGTAGGTGGGATCCACATATATGAGGCACCAGTAGTAGAATCAATAATATTAATTGTAAATTCAAAGTCATCCTTGCTGAAATTATAGTACTCTTCGTTTGAAATCTGATCCATGTAAATGCTGTTTTTGGATTTGCTGGAAGCTCTTCTAGTAAACATTTGGATGGATATTTGAACTCCATAAGCAAACAAGAACAGCAACAGAATTGAGGAGACAACTCCTCCATAAACACTTGTGAATTTGTCTTCTCCTTTATAAGTAAGACTTATAGGCTTTGAGAACATGTCGATGGACTTGAAACTCTCTCTAGTCCATTTTAGAACTTTTTTCATTATTTTATATTTCGTCATTTTCAAAATCCTGAGTTTTATACTAAATTTGGTTGGAAATTGGTTTTCCAAAGGAAGACCTAGTTTAACCTGTTCAAATAATGAAGTTTACCTTCTTCAACCATTGACTAAACTGCTGATAGATGCTTCAAATTTTATTTAGAATCTGTGGACGAATTAAAGCAAACTTTATGGTAAAATTTCAGTGAAAGTGAACAGCCTCCCAATTTGATCACCAAATTTCGGATAATGCTTTGAATTTTTATCTATTATGAAGAAGGAAGAATTTTAAGAAAATTATGAAAGAAATTCTTATGAATTACCAGCCAGAATAATGATATTTAAAGAGAAAATAGATTATGAAAGTAGAACATCAAAGAGTTGCAGAGATTGAAATAAATATAAGGCTTAATTAATCAGTTTAAATATTTATTAATTTAATCTAATAACAGTATAATTCATCTCTTAGAACATGGTATGGGGTTTTGGGGTTTTGGGGTTTTGGGGTTTTGGGG